TCCAACACAACCTCTCTGTGAGTCTTTGCCAAACTCTGCGCTTTTAGGAACGTGACTTCCTCACAAGGCAATGAAACCACACTCCTCCTGCCTGGACATTTTTCATCTGCCTTCACTTTCAGCCAACGCAGGACACACTCACATCTACATGTTTTTTAGTCAGCAAAGGAGCTTAAAAAAATGATAAAATTCTATCTTTAAGAGAAAAAAACGTTTTTCTTTCCTCAAAATCACAGCCGCGTCTGAGGGGACACTCTGAGGTTTGATTTGTTTGTATTATTATCCTCCAGATGTTCGTTAGTCAGGCTTTGCTCGCTTCACTACCACCTGTTAGATGGAGGGCTTTTGGTTTGTGCCACCCACATTTTAATGAGGAGTGCTTTTAAATACTAATGAGCATATTTTGGCGTCGCTGAAGGCTCTTCTGCGCTCATTGTAAAAGTAAGAATGTCAACTTGTCAGTTTAATGATGCTGCAGGATTAGACATCCGACCCCCTTTTTTGAAATGTCTCCCTTTGCTGGTGTACGGCTCTACTACTAAATTATTCCGCTGTGTATTCTCAATGCTGTCAGTGTGATTAACACCAGATAGAAGGTGCAATCTCTGTAGCACATTCCCTTATAAAGCTTGCCTTAATAGACGACGTAGGAAAATGGTCCTACCTTGAGTAATTCATAGTTTTTATGCAAATGTTTCTGTCAGTCAGTGGCTCCTATTGCACAAACAATATTGTTGACAAGGTTGGATGTTGCAGTGATAAATGCATAACATTGATCTTATTGCTAAAAATATATACTTTTTGAACTTGCTTTTTTATGCAAATGTTGGTGTTTCCTGGAAGTTTTTCCCCAAAACATTTAAAAAATCACATTTAACCATTTTCTTGCATTTGAGCAAGGCAATATATCACATAGCAATATTATGATTGGGGACCAGAAATTGTTTCTGATTTTGGAAATCATAATATTACATAAGTGCTGGTTTTAAAGGCTATATACTATTAAAATAATGTATTTTCTGAACTTAACAAACTTGACAGATTTCCTTTTAGTGATAAAATATCTTCAAAACCCTCTAAATTGTGCAACTCAGCATTTATATCTTGATTAATACTAATACACCAATGCATACATTGTAATATACACAAATGTAAATATTTGTTGTTGTTATATATTGTCCAACCTGCATAATTTGTCTCCGTGTATTTGTATAAATATTGTAATTTAATTAAATGTTACCTTTTAATTGCATATTTGTTCATCTTTTTATTTTTATAAAAAATATTTAAAAGTAACCTTTTATATTTTTATTTATTGATATATATTATATTCTAACTACCTATCAAAATTGAAAATATTCTTTTGAAAAGCACCAAAAGTCAAACCTAATAATAAAACATATATATATTGTGATATTTAATTGTATTTGAGTTCTAACTAAATAGTCTATAATCTATTGCAACTCCAACTCCATAAAAAAACAAAGCTGTTCCCAGTTAAACTATTTTTAGAGCTCTGTGCTTTTTGGTAGACTGTGAGTACATCCACACTGAACCAACAGATGGGCTCACTGCAGTAGCCTGCCTGTGAAACAGTTTAAGAGCTTGTTTTGTCAATGGTTGTGTTTCACTGTCTAACCACTGCAAAGGCCACCAGGAGTTGAGCTTCTTGTTATGAGTCTGGAGCGCGTTTAAAAAATCCAAGCTGGAAAACCACAGCCCATTCCTTTAGTCCATTGAGGAATACCAAGACAGAGAAGTGGGTAAAATCTCCACATGTGCTCCTGTAGGCCGCAAACTTATTCTCCCATGTTTGCAGCTATTGCTCAATAAATTAAATAACGTTGACTGACTGGGCTCCTTTTCGGAAAAACAAAGCACAACGCGGCCAAGGCAGTTGTGGTGTGCCTTGGCCCACCGTAGTTATCATTGGCTCGTGCTGCACAGAAGCATGAATGAATGTGCGTCTGGAGAATATTTAACTTCATCCCTTTTCTCAGGCTGATTTTTTTGCAACCCCGCAACTCTTATCCTGAATGTTTTGGCGTTCCTTGCGCTAACCATCTGCCTTTATTTATGTTCTATTTTCTCTCCGTTTGAGCGTTCCTCAGTCACCGCCTCGTTTCTTCTTCATCTTTCTTTCTGCTCAGTTTAACTTCATGTGCTTAAGTGGCAAACCTCAACCCAAAACCCTCCTGATTTGCGTTCTAAGAATGTTTTATACCAAGCCGCGGTTTGGCAGAAGGGAAAACATCTTCGCTGACCTTATAAGAACTTGGATGTTTTGGATCCCTTCGGTTTTATGTGGGAATTTATTTTGTCACTTAATGGTTCCTTTCTTCTTTCTTTATCTTATATTCTCACGCAAGGGATTCTGTATTCTCCTGTCTTATTTCTCAGCTTTTTGTGTGCAGTCCTTTCCCCTCCATTTCTTTTATTCCATCCTTATCATCTCCATCCCGGAGGCTATGTCTACCAGAAAGGCTATGGAGTTGTCAGTCCTCAGTCAAGCCTTTAGATTAAAGAGGCCCTATTATGCTTTTCCCTTTCCTGTATTGTGTTCGATTGTGTGCATGTAAATGGTCTGCAAAGGCTAAAATCCCTGTGTTCCCTCCAGATGGAGTTTCTCTATAGGCGCTTTCACACCGGAGTACTTTTCCCCGTACTTTTCCCGT